TATTTAATACATAATTTAAATCATAAGCAGGAAATCCCGAAAAACATTCAGGATCTGCACGCAGAATAGTTCTTAGCACAATATTTATATTTATTCAAATAATTTAAAGTGCGAATTAAACGTTGCCTCACTAAGTAATCAATTGTTACTAACCGCAGGCAATTGTTAATAATAAATGATTCTTGCATACCTGCACACGTACATTTACAGATTTCGACTATTAATTCTTACACACGACCGTACTTGTTCCACTTGTCATTATGACATACCTATTTGTGTTAACAAAGAGATGTACGCTGGAAGCGAAAATAATTAATAAATAAATTGCACAGGTGTGTGTGTGTGTGTACGTGTAATAATTCATAGTTCGCAGAAGGTCTAATATATTTAGTCAAGATTACCATTCTCTAATCATCTCCACGCATTACGTAATTAATATAATGATGATACTCGCATTGAATCGCCTTCGTGCGAAGTGAAGACAGAGTACAAATGTATATATATATTGAAAAAAAGATAAGAAGAGAGACGACGACAACGGTGAAAGTGGAACCGGAGGACGGCTGAAATATTGGGAGGACCACCGTCGTGAGCAGTGAAACGACCAAACTCCCAGCGGCAGTCCGTTTTTGCGAAATCATTAATTTATCGCCATTTTCTCTCCGAACGAACGAAGAGGAAAGAATCCATCTACGTGATGCTAATTTATATACTTTGAAAAAAAGAAGGAGAACGCAAAGAAGAGGAGATGAAATTTCAAAAAAAAAAAAATAAGATTCACGTTGTGAAAGTCTTTTTTGTATTTTGTTTTTATACATCCTCCGCCGCTTCTGTGTCAAAGTTGAAATATGAGAAAGTAGTGGATTGTATTTCCAGGCAGAGAAAAATTGTCTAGACGAGTACGTACGGACCTTTTATCGACTTTTATTTTGAAATATTTCGTTTATCTGCACTCTCTGTTAGAAGATAGTAACTGCAAGAAAGTGGGTTAAGACCGTGCCTTTGAGATGTATTCTGTGTCAATAACAACAACAACAAATGACATATGGCTATTATTTAATATTCTCCCATTCAATAACTGTAAAGATGATATAAAGAGAAAATGAAAACACCTAAGGAATTTCTCATCGTTCATACGCGAGAATCTTTAACTATACTATTCAATAGTTTATACAATGTTTCAAGGAAAGCACACCAATGAACACCAATGAAAATCCTAAACAAGTATTATTCAATTTAAATAACATTGCCGAAAGATGAACTTTTAACATAAATATATCAAAATTGAATTTGGAATGTAGTAAGTTTTACATCAGTATAGAATAATATAGAAGAATTCAAATATGGAAAGATAGAGAATGTTATTTGTATACTGGATTATTGAACTAAGATTATAGAATCAAGAAGATATTTAAATTTACAATAATATTCCCCTCGTGATAACGAAATAGTAACTAACATCAAAACTAAAAATAAATTTATTTTTTATCTTTTATTGTTTTAAATTTACCTGAAGATGACTATTTCAATTAACCTATAACCCTAAAGAAAAGTCAATTTAAATGTGTTGCAATTTTATAAGTCTCTTCAATTATACGGTCATTTTTCTTCATTGCGTTGCTTTTTTCATAAAGTTAATTTATTAAAGCGAGAAGAGTAATAACAATTTATTGGTCACAAATAAATTGTTATTATTCTCAATTGCAACAAACATAATACAAACTTAACAAAATAACAAAAATAAAACTAAATTGAATTGCTGCAAAGTATTATAATTGTAATTAAAAAAATATATTAATATTATTGCAACCAGTTAGATATTGGACATTTAGTGCTTTCGATTGATTATATATAATTGCGATCATTATTTTACAAAGAATGTACATGAAGAAGAAAACACACTTTTACCATTAAATTGACGATGTCAAGTTGTAAATTATTACGATTGGTCTTGTGTTCAGATGAAAGTTTAACGTTATTAATTCCAAGATCAATCCCAGATGTTAGACAGCGCACACGATTTAAGAGAGTAGTGATCATTTGTGGACGATGAAATTAGATCAATAGCCATACTATATTCACTTTCTTTAATTATCAAATTCAATCCATCTAAACAGCATGCAGAAAATTCAACAAATGAAGTCGAAAGTCCATTAGTATAAATGCTTATAAATACTTTACAAACAATAATAAAAATAATAATATTAGAAAATGAACCCAATAAGGATTTGTTATCAATAATATTTCTTCCATAGCTTAATTCAAATGGAGTATTTTGAACAATGTATTTTAATAAAATTTTCCAATTGAAGATATTTTAAATGATAAAAGAAATTGTTAATCGGTGCGAGGATTGAATCGAAGTCCTCGCTTCTTCTGAGTTACCTCTTTTTATATGTCGAAGTCTTCGCGTTTATAAAAGTGAATGGCCCGTGATGTCACGGATCAAGGCTCACGAATCTTCCATGTCTTGATCCTAAAACAATGAAGACATACGTGCATACTTTGAGGACTGTTTATGGTAATTTACTAGCAATAGTAAGTGCCCAAATCGTTGTTGTTTTTATAAGTTTTCAAATACCGCGACGTGATTGCAATTACCAATCTTATCGACTATCGAAATCGGTGAATCTTTATAACAGGAAAATGTAAATGTATTCCTAATTTAATCGATTGTCACAAAAAAAAACGGACAAATATTATTTAAGCACATTTCGTAAACGTATTATAATTTTAAATACATGATTAAATCACTGACCAAAACCATACCTACTAATTATGTTAAATTACATTTTAAATGAAGAAAGAAAAACAATACCAGTTTAAGCATAACTTATTATTAAATTATACTATTTATTATTTACCAAGTGAAATATAGTTATAAAATTAAAATAAAAATTATTTGTATACAGAAAAAAGTAGATTTTTTTAAAATTTATTATGTTTTCATCTATTCTTTAGATTGTTTTAAAAAATTTATTACTAAAAAATATAAATATTGGGCAACAAAATTAATATTCTTATTTTTTTACAAGAATATATGTAAATCGGTTAATATGTCAGAAGGTAATGACCCCTGCAGTTTTCTGCATTCCATTTAAATAAATAAATACAGACGGAGAGATGAGCAGCATACAGTGTATGTAAAATGGAAAGAGAAATAAAATCATAAAATACAAAAACCAGCTGAGGTGATTCGCAATGTTCAATGTCTGCACGAGTCTACGCGACTTTGTAGCCTCAATTTTTACCCGACTATTGATTAAGTATTCGTCTTACTTTTTCGCATTAAAAAAAATCTCGTTTTAGATTTGGAAAGTGCAGTTTTAAATAATATACTTTTCAAATCAAAACTCGTACTAGTCTGACTCATCGTCGACCGTTTTCTCTCGTGCTTAAATATACCTTAAGTCACATACTCCGATTTATTTGTTGAATTACGATGTGTCAAACATAATTTAAATGTATTACAGTATAAGTTGCAAAAAGTTCTATTAGAAGTGAACTGCGGAAAACGAGATATTCAAGAATATATTCACTACGGAATTTCTCGACGTAATTCAGTTGCAATTCAATAAACCGTAGCTCGGCGCTAAATTAAATTATTCCAACTCTATTTGGAATTGAGTTTCCTGCAAGGTTTTTACCATCGGTTTAAATGGCATTGTAATGTATCTCAGTCTAGACTTCTCAATAGACATACCAAATCTATTCTATAGGAATTTACGATGAGATTTTTTTGTACTTTTTTTATACATATAGTTTTAAGTTTACGAACCAAAGTCATTGAATTATTATCAGTTTAAAATGCATATATTTCCGTTTTTATCGGATGTGATTAATTGCGAAATTATTGTAAAACATTCGAGTTTTAACAAAGATCTTTATTGATTAACATGTGAAATAGTGTTGCGTTAGCTTATTTTGTACTATTTCCGCTCTAAATCCTGCATTATCATAAATCTACTATCAATATGGATAGGCATTATACTTTTACTTCTATTATATATACATTCATATTTTTTAATGTAATTTATTAGCAAAATAATATTAAAAAAAGATTACATTTAAATTTTATTTAATAATTTCACCTATAAAAATTAATAATATAATTGTATAATACTGATAAAAATAAACAATGGAGTTGATGGTTCTATTTTGAATTTTAGAAAGGGCATTTTGAAATGTGACTCCGATATATATATTTATTATATTATAATATGCCAAAGTGTGTAACCGTTGCACAACATTTAGATGATGGTGCCAGTTCGTATTCTTATTGACCGTAAAATATTACGGATGCATGCGAGATGAAATATTTTGTAATACTCAATTTAGAAATTTGGAAATTGCCCGGAGCTGAATGGTAATTATAATTGTCCAATAAGTAAATGTCTAATTTATATTCAAGTATATACAAAGATTCAGCACATATATGAAAAAAAGAAATATATAATGATTTTGAAATAATTTGTATTCTTTGTGGTCCGCTCGAAGATTTGCAAAACTATTTCCATCGTAGAGTGCAGGAATAGAAACTCTTTATTTCGCTTACGTGAAGATTTTGCAAAATTCTTTATAAAATAATAGTAAACATGTGGGTCGCGTGATAACAATTTAATAAAGTAATAACAATTATTATTGTTGCTTCCGTAGCTAATGAAATATGCCTTTAACGATGATTTGCATGTAGACAATGAGCACGAATATCTTATTTTTGTGTGTTAATTCGTCGTAATGGAATGATGAAGAAAGTGTTTTCGTGTGTAAGACGACTTTCGATGCCGATGCATGACGGGCAATGGCGAGTGTTATACATCCGCGCTGCTGGCCGTTGGTTCTTCGCATTAGTGAGAGGATGTGACCCGATTTTTCACCACCAAATGTTAAAATTGAGTCTCTATCTGACGTATCCTTGATAGTGGGGATGAAGATGAGCTATATAAATTAGTGGCATTGGTCCACAGTAGTATCAATCAGTTCACTTCCTTCACCGGTAACACATAGTTACCTCTTATACATATAAGATGAAACCTTTCGTGGTAAGTATTTTGTGAAAACAAAAATTGAACAGTGCTCGGTGCCGCCAAATTCATGGACTTGGAATATAAATAAAGTGTTTTCAATTATTTTCAGCTCATTGCTACCTTGGTAGCTTTAGTCCATGGACGTCCTGAAGCCGGTTACTCTTACCCGAAACCAGGTGGTTCGATCTCCGGTGGATCCATCTCTGGTGGATCCATCTCCGGCCATGGAGGTGGTTTCGGTGGAATTGGCTTAGGCGGTGGCCATGGAGGAAGCTTCGGCGGAATCAGTCATGGAAGCTCTTACAGCTCTAGCCACAGCTCTGGATTTGGAGGCAGCTTCGGCGGCATCAGCGGAGGACATGGAATCAGCGGTGGACATGGAATCGGTGGAGGAATTGGTGGCAGCGGAATTGGCGGTGGTTTCGGTGGAATCAGCGGCGGTGGTCATGGAATCGGCGGTGGTGACATCGGTGCTGGTGGATTTACCAGCGGTGGCTCCATCGGAGGTGGTGCTATCGGCGGTGGATTCTCTTCCGGCGGCGGTTTCGCATCCGGAGGCGCTATTGGCGGTGGATTCTCTAGCGGTGCTGTTGGCGGTGGATTCTCCAACGGCGGCTTCACCAGCGGTGGATCAACTGGCGGAGTTACCGTCCAGAAGCACATCTACGTCCATGTCCCACCACCAGAGCCAGAAGAAATCCGTCCACAAAGACCAATCCAAGTAGCCGCCCCACAAAAGCACTACAAGATCATCTTCATTAAGGCCCCAACTCAAGCCACCCCAACTGCCCCAACCATTCCGATCCAAGCTCAAAACGAAGAGAAGACCCTCGTCTACGTCTTGGTCAAGAAACCAGAAGAACAACCAGAAATCACCATCCCAACTGCCGCCCCAACTCAACCCAGCAAACCAGAAGTTTACTTCATCAGATACAAGACCCAAAAGGAAGCCGCTGCTGCTGGTGGAGTTATTGGAGGCGGTATTTCTGGAGGAGCTATCGGAGGCGGTATCTCCGGCGGTGCTATCGGTGGTGGCATCTCTGGCGGTGCTATTGACGGCGGTCTTACTGGAGGAGCTATTGATGGAGGTCTCATCGGAGGTAGCGGCCACGGAATCATTGGAGGCGGCAGCTCTCACGGAATCATCGGAGGCGGCAGCTCTCACGGAATCATCGGAGGCGGCAGCTCTCACGGAATCATCGGAGGATCTTCCACCATCATCAGCGGAGGAAGCTCCCACGGAATCATCAGCGGAGGCAGCTCTCACGGAATCATCGGCGGAGGAAGCTCCCACGGTTCCGTCTCCACTAGCTACGGTCCACCAGGACAAAGCGGCCCATACTAAATCCTTAGTCACTACTAGACATGTGTACGGGTAGCGAGATTAAGTCAATCAAAATCAACTAATCTCGTCACACACCATGACATTCCCATATGGGTTTATGTGATAATCCCATTTAGCATAATCACTTGTATATATTTTTCATGCGTGCTAGGTTTAACTTTTTTTATAATTTTCATTCTTATATACATATATACTTATATTTTTGCAAGAATTACGGTGACAAATAAATGTATTTTCTACAAAAATAAATCTCTCAAAGATTCGTTTGCCTACTTTCTTTTTGCTTATGACGCCATCCAGTGTATCCTTTCTTCGATTAAAAGAGAAAGAATACGACACAGAATTCCGAAATCGATTTGAGAGATCAACAATAATAACAACAATAAAAAACAATTTTTATTATTTCCGGTTTCGTACAATATAATAAAATACAAGAAAATAAAATGGATTCATCGTCACCAAATTGTTTCTCCCTTTCTTCGGTGATTTTGTTGTAAATCGCCAAAGGTTCTGACCTGAATTTCACCTAACCAAACGTTAAATCACATGACGATCTTTCGAAATCTGGCAAATGTTTATTCAACAGTACTCATAATCATCGAACGTGTTTAAGTCCTAAGTATGTACTTATACCTAATTTATACAGAATAACAGTAGTGTTTTAAAGCTGTCCCCTATAAAGTTAACATATGTATTAAATAATTATTATACATACGCCGAAAATCAGTAGTAATAGTCAATCAAAATACGTGTTAAATAACAGACATTTTACTATTTTTTGTTTTTTTTTTAATTATTTATTATTAAAATAAGTACCTCAGGTTATATATAATTATTTATTATATATAGTAAGTTTAAAAATTATCTACGGCAAAATATTTTAATTAATCTTCATATAACATAATTTTTCAATGAATATAACATTTAATTAAATTAATATGTAATTTGCGAAAATTAAAAATAATTACATAACTATTAATATAAATTGGATTGCTGCAGTACTGACCCAATAATTTACTCTAACCTCACCTTTCACCGAAATGTTTAGGTGCTAATTTCGCAAATTCCAATTTCGTAATAACAAGGCGAATTATTAAAAACTGCTATAATGTCTAAAGAAATAAATTACTAGATTTTTCAACAAAAATACACAAAAATATGAAACACAAATATTAATAATGAACATCTTTTATTTACCATCGTCAAGTTATTAAATTCATTGCGCTCAAACAGAAGGATTTTTTTTAATTTTAAAGTATTTTATGTGTAGCTAGTCGTTAGTTACTTTTATAGGTGTATTAATAATTTATGATATTATTGATGATAACTTGATTTAAATACATCAATACATCTCATAGCCCTGGTAATCGGTTCTACCGGTGCGAGATATTGCACTGTTTGAAACCTGACTAACGAGGACTTTAAAACCGCATTAATATAAACTTCACAAAAAGAAACTTGAGTAACTTTTGAGAATTTATTCGAAGCCGCACTATGCGACTTAATACTGTATATGAAGAGTGTTTGCATAGTCGCTTTCTTTTCTTTAATTTTAATAGCAAAATAGTGTTTATTAGGTTGTTTGCATTTTTTTTATTTATTATTTTTCTATTTAAAAAAAATGTTTATTTAACGTTACTAATAAAAGATATCTTTCAAATGCTAACATAATCAATTAAATAAAATGATATAATATTATATAACACAGAACGTTTCTTGATTAAAGTATCTTCTCCAAAATTCTTGCATTCAACAATTAATTAAACATAATTTATGCATTTCTTCATTGATCGTTATGACATTTTTTTGGCAAACTGTTTTCTAGTTATGTTGATTTCTCACTTCACATTTGCAAGAATTATAATATAGCATAACGTTGCACAACACAACGTGATGATACAGATTTATCTACATTAGAATTTGGTTTAAATGTTAAGATTTGGACTTTCAAATAGTCAGTTGATTTGTAACAGCCGTTTTTGCCCACTAGTTGCGTGAGGTTTGTACCAACGCATTTCTTTCTAACATATACATATTTGCTTGTTTAAGTGCAAAGATAAATATATTTATTTACCTGTTTTTTTTGGTAAATGATTCATGCGGGTTATGCAATGCAGCACACATAAAATACGTGATGCCATAAAATACTTGTTTATTTATAATTTTCTTGTGACTTTTTCACTTATAGAAATTCCATTAGTAATCAAATTTGCATACAACACAAAATATGTAAGAACTTCGTCTCGGAGTATGGATTTTAAATTCATGTTTATTCATCGTTTTCTGAATTCTGCGTTGATTACGTTGAAACATATAAAAAAAAATCGTTATTATTGTTTCAGTGTGAATTCGCGAATGTTATTGACCCTCTTTGTTTAATAAAGCAATTAAATCTTATATAATGTTATCAAATTTAATTATTTGTCCTTAGTTACATTCATCTCTTTCTTTCATTTTGGGACAGACAAACGTAACCTTTAACAAGTCTATATTAATTATTAAAAAAATCTTCTTCGATGTACATTGAGATGAACGTCTCTGTAACCGCGATATTTGGAATTATCAAACTTTCGTCGGTTTATTATCGACAAGGTTACTAATTTTAGTATATACCCAGGCGTTTTTATTTACTCATAAATGTTAACCTGAAACGCAGAATTTGTCCTTGCTAAAAGGATGTCTCGGTCTCGGGCAAGTGGGGATCGGGTATAAATACTTTAACCATAACCTTACAGCCACACAGAAGAGCTCTCAAACCGAAACATGAAGGGTTTATTGGTAAGTGCGTTCATCAACGACCGTTAACAATTCAATTACATTTCGCGAGTTCTTTTAGATATTGTCGGCTGTAGTCGTCTGTACTCTTGCACGCCCGGACATCGGACTTAAACTTAGGGAACAAGCTTACCAATATCAACCACCAGCAACCAGCTATGGGGTACCAACAGGAAGTTATTTACCACCGAACGTAATAAATGGAGTTCCATCGCAGTCGGACAATTCGTACACAGGAAGCGTGTCCGGTAATGCTGGCTCTACTGCAAATGGAGGATATTCGGATAACAGTGGATACGTTTCCGGAAACACGGAATATGTCTCTGAAAATTCTGGTAATACTGGATTTACATCGGGAAATTCCGGATTTACATCCGGAAATACTGGATTTACATCAGGCAATGAAGGATATGCCCCAGGAACTGGTGGATTTACTTCAGGAGATGGTGGATATATCTCGGGAAATGCTGGATTTATAGGAAACACTGGTGGTGTCACAAGTGGTAACGGAGAATACTCTTCAGGAAATGTGTACACCAGCAGCGGTGCAGTGGATAACCAAAACTTTGGATCCGTTTCAAGCTCGCTCCCAGGTCCGGCTCATGTACACAAACACGTATACTTCTTCGATTCTCCCGAGGATAACGAAGCCCCGCAATTACGCGTGAAAGTACAGCCAGCCGCTGGTCACAAAAACTACAAGATCATTTTCATCAAGGCCCCGAGTTACAAGGCTCCGAAGATCACCCATATCCCAGCCATCCAGCAGAACGAAGAAAAGACTCTTGTCTACGTTTTGGTGAAGAAACCGGAGGAGACACAAGACATCGTAATTCCATCATCGATTGCAAGCAAGCCAAGTAAGCCTGAAGTATACTTCATTAAGTATAAGTCGCAGAAGGAAGCCGAAGAAAAGATCCAGAGCATCCAGAATGGAGGAAGCTCCGGCATATCAGCACAAAATGTTGGATCTGGTACCGATTTTATCAACACCCTCAAGGAACAACCAGTGAATATCGGTGTTGATACGTCCGTCAGCAGTGTAAGCACAGTGGAAACCAACGAACCTTCTTTCTTAACCGAAGATCAAGGCAATGTACAAACCGTCCAAACTAGTGGACACGCTCAGTACGGACCACCAGGCGTCAGCGGTCCATACTAATTCTTCCAAATCTGTAAATATTGTTTTAATTATTTTTAAGTGATTTAACCCAGTGATACTGCCATAAGCATACAAGACATCAGCTGCGTTCTAATATTTCTTTAAAAGAAAATGAGCCGCGTGACACCAACTCATTACCCAAAAAAAACTTCATACATTCTGTAAAATACTTGTAAAAATTTTGTATAAAATACTCATAATTTAGAAATACATTTAATTTTATATTTATAAAACTTTTTATTTAATTCCAGTACCCTATTACTTACTTCATTACATAAAAAAATGAAATAATTATATTTTTTCAATTATGTAATTTCAGAATCACTTTAACTATACATAATATTTCAGAAACAATATAATATATATGAGTATTCTCGAAATGTTTAAATAATTTAAAACATACTTAACTCGTTTTGAACGGGTGAAGGCAAAATAAATAATGAATAATTGAATTAGTGAACCGAAATCCAATTTACATTAGTTAGTGGATATCTAATGGGAAAAATCAATAGACTAGAAAAAAAAAACCAGAAAGTAAAAGTTTGGAAATTGAAAACATTACGTTAGCGAGGCTTTGTGTACACGAAAGGCACTCTAACAAAATTAAATTACGTTGAGTTTAAAACAGTGAATGAACTACGAACAAGAAAAAATTGGGTCGCAAATCAATTTCAGTCGAAATTCGATGATTCTGAGAAATGCTAATGCTTTTATTTTTATGGGCAGAAAATGTCGAAATCTAGTTTATTTATAGGTCAATCGTGTTGCTTCATTAATCGGATGACTATTTATTTTTTCACAACCGAAAAAAAAATACACAAGTGATGTGTTTTATTGTTGCGTCCTAATTGCTTGTGGTGATTCGATCCGCACATCTTACTGGAAGCGCATGTTGAAACTAATTAATAATTCAAACATTTCACAAAATTCTGCAAATATTTGCAAAAATCAAACAGCACTAAACTGAACCTTGCATAGGTAAAGTTGTGCAATCGTATTTCGTTTTCTATAAATATTTGATGTTCACATTTCGTAATTTTTAATTCTTACTTTTGACTCAACGTGATCATTCTTCTTCATTATATATCAAATCCTTTCTAATATTACATTATATTTTATAAATATTTATTATTATTAGTCATTTTAATATTAAAAATATAAATTCAATTTTACTTTATTGTTACAACTCACTAGAAGCGACTCGTCCATAAGGGCACTAGCGGCCGGACCCCAACTATAATTGTATAACTAGAACAATAATTAATTAATTAGTTGACAAAACTAGACATTCTTTAAAATATAAGTTGAGACTTGATGTCTCAATATATAAACAATTATTGTAATTCATCTCAACTTCTATTATTATTTGAATTTATTTTGAAATCTAGCATCTATATGAGATATAATTAATATAATTTCTTGTTTGTAAGTTGAATTATTTAATTATTTGCAAATTTATTATTTATAAATATACTGATAGATACTAATCATATTGGAAACAGATCAAAGCTTTCTTCTTTGAACTCTATAAATTATAAACATTAATTAAGTATCAAATGACATTGATAAAATAATTTGTAATATAAAAAAATATCTTTACATAACTAATTAGATGAATACCATTAATTGTGTAACTCCAAACTGCGACCATGAATTTGTACATACATTTCCAATGAACCAAAACTGAGTAGACACATTGTTCCAAATCTTTAATCCGCTTATCCTTAACCTTTCAACAATGGATGGAACAAATGGATTTATTATATGCTTAAATATTAATTTCCAATGACTTTATTATTTGTGAACTCTTCGCTATTTTGATCTATTGGATTAAATGTTTTACAACTAGATTTACTTATAGAATTATGTTTTATAATTTATTTTTTGTTTTCGTTTTGTAAATCTAGTTTCTCTTAACAAGATTTTATTGTAATATGAATATATAATTTATGAATAATAATAATTATCCATATTAACAAAATATAGTTGTTTAATTAAAATATTCAAACTTATTGTTTTTAGAATTTGATTCTTACGTAATTGTTAGCGTAGAATATTTTTTTCGACAACAATTTTACGTTATATTTATCAATTCTAGTTGCTTTCAATAAATGCTAAATTTACCCTATTCAGTTGCAATATCTGTATAAATAATTTTATTTTTGATAGAATCTCATAAAAAATATTTCCTTCCAGCAGAAATTGATTTGTTCTGAGAAAAGTATTGAAAACAAAATACAATCGGCGTTTAGTTAATGTCATAAGCGAATGTAAATAAATTGACGGAAAAATCTCGTATAAATACTCGTATAAACGTACACGTTCATATAAACATTCATAACAGGCTTCATTTATATATCCAACCGATAATAAAAACATAGCATAGCATATATAAAATTGCCATAAATATTCAATGAATTTCTATCTATAAGTATAAAACTCCAAAACTTTTACAAAACGACGGCTACTGGATAATCCGACGTTGTTGGCGAATATAAAATATATTGATGCTATTTATGATTTATGTTTGCAGGAGGTTGGTATGTTTTACGTGATTGGAATATGGTGGATTTCGATTACATGAAGATACTGAAGCAATTGCATGTGAAGTTCGGCGTCTCGCCTTATTTCAAAATATCGGTGATACCAAATCCCAGGGAACCCGGAAACAGTAGCATTTCGATATCACCCTCAGGCTTAGGACTTCCAGATCGTAATTACTATTACGCACCGCAAAAAGACACGGTTCGTTGTTTATAAAAATAGATATATAATCATATTAATCAACATTTTCCCATTTCTAGATTGTAGCCGCTTACAAACAGCTTATTAGGGATATTGTTATTAATTTGGGAGCTCCAAAGGCGAATGCAGAAACCTTCGGAAACGACGTATTCTTCTATGAACAGAGGATCGCTGAAATGACACCAGAAACTAGCGATTTACTTGATCCTATTCACAGTTACAATCCTATTCATCTCTCTGAACTGAAACTGACATCATCAACGGTAAATATAATTTTGTTTTATAATTGGATTTATTGTTACAAATACATTTTCAGCTACCGTTGCACGATATTTTAACTGCCATGTACCCTTCTGCAAATGTCGATGATAATACTGAAATTATCGTCACGCATCCAGATTATCTACTTAAAGTCTCGCAAATTATTTCATCAACGGATAGGAAGAGCATGAACGGTTATATGATTTGGACACTAGTCAGGGAATATCTACCCTATCTTTCCACTCAATACACTTCGGCTATAGACGCTTTCCATAATGAGCTTTTAGGTGAATAACTTCAAAATTATTTTATCTTAATAATAAATAACTTCAAATACTGTTATATTATCTTTAGGCGTAGCTAAACCGTTTCAGCGATGGGAATTCTGCGCCAATTTAGTGCAGAGATTCATGCCACTCGCCATTGACGCCTTGATTGACAAAGCAAATCCTGTTAGAAACAAAACGAACGTCGTCATTAACGATATTTTCAAGAATATACAAAAAGCAGCTAAGGCCAAATTGAACAAGTATAATAGTATTCCCGAATTGTACACTCATCTTGAGAAGAAGGTAAGTTTATTTAATTTTATATAATGAGATACAAAAAGAAGTACAACCCGGCGCATCCACTCAACAATAATATGTTTAATAAATATTTAATAATTACAGAAAAAACTTAACGAAATTCACATGAATCATTGTTACAAGCTGAATATTCAATACGTCCAATAAAAATATTTAATTGGAAATTATTTTTCTCAATAATTATTTATTATGGCATTATTTTATTTCTTTTCTGAACAGTTTTATTTCTTCAAAATTAGTTATGAGTATTGTTATATTTTGCATATATATTTCATCAAAAAATAGATATTTTTCTCGGACCAAACCTTAATAAACTACATTAATTAATTGAATATTTGTATATAAATTGCGAAATTATACAATATTCTGAAAGTAAAATCCATATTATTGTATTAATATTCTATACACACTCGGACAATCCAATTCATTACCCTCCCAACGAGGAATGGACATATTGTTCGCAAAGTTGTTACTTAAATGTTTTGCATTTTTAATAATAGAAAATTAGAAGAGCGTTCACGTTTATTTTTAACTTTACAGTTTAAATTTACATAATGTTAATGTAGTTGCTTTTACATCCAAGTACACAGTAATTAACCTATTGCTGATTAAATTCGAAACTTGAAAACTTTGCAACGTGTGTTCATGTCTGTTCTATAATTATTCCAGATCTCAACGCTGAATCTGCAAATTGGACTTCCGGCTGTAGCGAAAACCGAAACGTTTCAGAAAGATTACTACACGAGATTGCAAATACTGAAAGCGAATCTGTTCGAAAGCTACAAGTACGGTATTATATTTCTGAAGACGCTGGATGAGGGCAGACTGTCGAAGAACGGCGCCCTCGAATACGTGATCAACGAAGCTCTGAGTGATCCCTTCAGGGTGCACTACGTTCCGTCCAATAACACGATCATCGTTCCGAGAGTTTTACTCTCAGCCCCGTATTTCGAAGATCAATATCCGAGGTAGGTCGAAAGAAAGTCAACTGACATTTAAATAAATTCATTTCCATTTCAGTTCAATAATTTATGGGCGACTGGGAATGGAAATTGCGGAAGCCGTGGCAACGGCAATCCTTCCGTTCAAAAGCGCTTGGACAGCGGAAGGAAAACTTCTTTCGTCCTACCACGAATCTGTCAATGAATCATCCAGACTAATTAGACACTCGATGCACTGCTTAACGGAATTCGCCAAAGACAATAATTTAGCGGAAACTAAAAGCGTTAACCTCACGTCTCTCAACACCTACAAATACTTATCGTCTCTGAATCTGGCACGCGACGTAAGATTTATTAATTTTGTGTCGAATTAAATTAACTGAGTCATGTTGCAGGCTCTTAAATTTGGATTAGAAAACGCTGAACACGTGCACCAACCAGCCTTGGAGATTTACGAAGATTCCGCACTATTTTACATTTCACATATACAAGTAATTAATTATAATAAGTACGAATTATTAAGAATTTAAATTGATTTATAATTTCAGAGTTTTTGTTCCCTGTCCACGAAACATCAAAATTTGTATGATAACGTAGTGGAATTTCAATTATCAGAAGAATCACTGTAAGTTAAAGTAATAATATTAAAAGTATTTGATACTAATTTTTGTTTGTTTCAGGCTGGAAGTAGCTTGGAAACAGCACGTAGGAATATCCGAAGCATTCAATTGTTATTCGCCTTCCGATAAATGCAATGACATACTTTAAACTTTTTACTCTTTTTCACAATCTTTTATCTATTTCCTTTCTGTTGTTTCTGGTTTGGAGAGCTTGACTAATTCTTATAAGAAGTTTTAAAACACATCTATTTTTTTTTGTTCATAGAGAAACAATTATTGCATATGTTATTTTTATAAATAAATTTTACTATTTTATCCGGTTTCTTTGCTTCATATATATATATATATATCCTGTATTTCATGAAAATAGTTGAAATCTTTATTAGTTTCCACATGGTACGAAATGACCGCAGACATGCTCAATTGCAATAACTACTGTCCTCGGGCTATTGGCATTCGTGGAAAAACTTGTATAACCGTAATTTCCCGAGTGTATGTACGTATATTGGACATTTATAGGCCTATATATCCTCGTACCTATATTATTTCCTAACAATGCACACAACAGCGTCAATGGAAATAAGTACATACTTTTGTAAAATCAATACTAATTTGTAGTGGCAGATTATTCGTTAAGGCAATGAGGCACGAGCATAGAGGCTCCAGATTTGCAATTATTTACCGAACCAAGACATTTTCTTATAGTATTTAAAATCGGTTCGGATTAAAATCCCGATANAAATAAGAGTGTTGTGTACATTATTATTATTGTTATTTTTAAAAGAGAAATAAACCAACTATGTATAAGAGACATCCACAAAGTCTGATTTCATCGGGCGTACTACGTGAAAAAAAAAACATCGATATTTTTAAAAATGTATACAGTAACAAAAAAGTTTTGTCTATTTTTTGAAACATTTTGAATATATGTATTCAACTAATTTGCAAATATAATTTGCGTTTGCTCTAAAAGCAAAGCAAAAATTGTATTGTCTATTGTTAATAGAATATATAAACAAAATATATATGAGATATTCTCTTATTCGATACAAATACATAAGTAACAAACCTCCACTGAGACTCTCGATCGATACACTGTAATTTGAACAAAGGGGACCAAGCATAAACAAACAAAAAAATTTAATACTCCGAACTCTTTTTTCATATAAACAAAACCACCCACACTGAATTTCGCGAAAATGCTTAATCATCGATACAAATAAAGCCCTACTCCCAATCACAACCCCATAATAATAAGAATTTAGAATGTATTTAGAATTTGTCTCAGAAGAACCTTAACTTCCGAAGGTTAACTTTTAATAATAAAATTGTTGGTGCGTAGTTTTGTATTTTCCATTAAAAGGTTAGTAAAAATTTGTTATTTGTTCTAAGTATGGATTTGCGCCCGATTATCAGAAATAAATATTAATAGAACATTTTTATTCCAGTTATTAACATGGGCAGGAAAATAGAAAATCCTGTAATATTTTTTTTTAAATTGATAAAATTACAAAAGGTGTTTGTCAAATAAAAGACCAAGCACAAGTGTAAAACAACTAACATTGGAACAAACTAAAATGAAATTAATGAAAAGGGATATTACTGTAAAAATGACCGAGAAAAAATTACAAAGTGCATGTGTAGAACTGGTCACCAAAAACGGTGTGCCATTCAATATGTTCGAATATTCAGGGTTTCAAAAAATCATTCAGCCAAAATCGACATTGACAGCGATGAAGACAATATGGTCACTTCCGTAAGATGCGCTGCACACACATTGCAATTGGCTATTTATGATGTCTTAAAAGAAAAAAGGATTGCAAACAAAATATCTAAATGTCGATTTATTTGCAAAAAGAATGGGATTTTGCTGCATTATTTGTATCTACTTTCAAGTAATTAAAATTGCTACTCTAATGGCACTCTGATTTGTATCATGAATATTATATGCTTACTGTTATTATATTTCTTGGAAATCTATTTGACAATGGGTCTATATCGCAAGCCCGACAACCGAAAGACCGTCTATTGAAAGCCCGACGTTCGAAATCCCGAGTGTATCGAAATCCCGACATTCGAAATCCCCAGTGTATTGAAATCCGGACGTTCGAAATACCGAGTGCATCGAAATCCCGACTACCATAATCCCGACAATCAAAATCCCGAATATATCGAAATCCCGCTACCATAATCCCGACAATCGAAATCCCGACATTGCCTTTTATTATTATAATTTCTACAATAACATTTTTAAATTATTCTA